TACATCTTAAGTGGCTGAATTTTCACCTTTTTAATTGGCTCACAGATTGGGATATTGAGCAAGACTGGCACGAGGGAGGAGTAGTCATACAGTTTCTGTTAAAAGCTGCATTCCCCATTTACTTTGCCAACTGTTAGCTATTTTTGGTCCTTTGACTTGGGCTAATTTCTCTGTTTTAGCTGCAGCTAGTAGCATAATTGCATTCACCGTGAGTGTTTATACAGACACTTTCACAAGCTGCAATAGCAGAAGAGCTATTTATGTTTATCACAAAATATGACATGCTGCGGTTTTGTTGGTGGTTACCTTCTTTTTTTGTTCCGAATCTCAATAACATCTGTTAGTTCTATGTACTGGACTTCAATTCTATGGCTCTATAGATTAAGCTATTTAAAAATTTCAGTCTTCAGGCTAATTGCATTGGTGCCGTTTCAGTATCTCCTTGTCTGGACAGCAGTTCTGTCACAGGTCAGCCAAGCAAAAAGTCTATAATTTTTGTTGAATTTTTAGCTCTGCTAGAGCATTTTAGAAGGAGGAAGGGCTACTTCAGTCATCAGATCTCTCTCTCTCTCTCTCTCTCTTCCACCAGATAGGAAGGTGAGTCATTCAGAAGCTAGTATTATCACATTATTTTTACTCAGAGCAAACAAAGTAGAAACTTGCATAAGCAGAATCAGGTAATAACTTTGGTTGAAGGCGGTCTCTTGAGGTTAACTGGTCTAACCCCTCACCCAAAGCGGAGCCACCTTGGAAATCAGATCCTGTCTCAAAGTTAGCTGAGGTAGCTCAAGGCCTTGCCTAGGTGCCCATCCTCCAAGCATCCTTCACAATGTGGTGGGACACAAGTTCCAGTGCTGAACCACTCCTTGTGAAAACTTTCCTAGTGAGATCTAATGAGAATTTTCCTTGCAGAAGCTTAGGTTTTGAGTATCTCATTCTTTTGCTGTGCACCTCCAAGAAGAGCCTGGTGTCTCTCCTCTCCAGGCTGACTTCAGATTCTCTCAGCTTGGGCAGGCATCTCTGTCAGCCTGTCCTTCTATGCCATGTACCCCATCTCCAAATCTTTGTGGTGGCCATTTGCTCCAAGTTCAATGTCTCTTTTACACTGGGAAGACAAAACTGGAGACGGCACTGCAGATGTGGTCTCAGGAGTGCCGAATAGAGGGGAAGAATCACTTCCTTCGGCGTGCTGACTGTGTTCCTGCTAGTGCGGCCACTCCGCACTGGCCTTCTCTGCCTCAGGGACACACTACTGGCTCGTGTTCAGCTTCTTGTCCCCTGTGTCCCCCAGCTCTTTTATGAATAGCTGTTTTATTGCCATTTGTACCCCAGTCTGTACTGTTGCATGGAGTTATTTCATCCCAGGTGCAGGACTTTGCATTTGCCTGTGTTGAAATTCTTGTCCACCTATTTCTCTAGTCTCTAGATATCCCCATGAATGGCAGCCCTGTCCTCCAGTGTACTGACAGCTCCCCTTTAAGATGGTATTGTTCACAACCTTGCTGAGAGTGCATTTGAGAGTACATTCAGTCCCATCATTCAGGTTGTTAATCAAGGCATAAATAGTATCAGCCCCAGTATCAACCCTAAGAAATGTCGCTAATAATCAGCCACTAATTGGACTTCAACCACCTCATGAGTTCCTCCTTGTCTGTCAGTGGTAGGTAGTCTTTAGGTTTCCTGCATGTGTTATATACAGAAGGGTAAAAATAGCAGAGATTAATATATCGTACAGTCTGTTTCAGACAAGCCATGTGGCTATTGCTTTATGTATAACAGTTTCTGCTGGAGTTAGCGTCAGAAAAGTGAGTTCATTGAGAGAGAGATATCTTGATTGACAGATGTGTATGAGGAGCACTGCCTACAGGGCAAGGTTGGTTTCAAGCCAGTGCTATTACTAATAGTGACTGTTTCTGTTAACCACTCACTTTCATAGCAATAAATCCTTTTCTTTGAAAAGGAGGGCAAACATATTGGTTCACGCCAACCAATATGTTGGTGTATTTCACACCAACTTACTTAAATGAACAAAGTGTAAACCTTAATTGGATTTTGTTTTAACATTTACTCAGAGGATATTTTTTCAAAACATCCCTGAAATTTAAAACAGCTTTTTTTGGTTCTAAACATGTTATGAATCTAAATGTAATGATGAAGTTAGGCTTTTCTGTAACTGGTACTTAAAACCTCTACTGTAAGTGTCATCTGTTGCTTTCCCTTACGGAAGAAGCCCATGGATCACTAATAAAACAGACTTCTCTCTGCTTAGTTATATAGTTGCTTCTGTAGATGGTACTAGAAGCACAAGGCTTATAATGTGGGTGCATGACTTGGGTGTGTTTCATATTCAGTTCTGCAGACTCTGCTCTATGTTCGGAGATGAGCTTGAGAAGAATAAACACTTGTTTAACTCTCTTGATTTCAGCTAATTACACAGTTGCTTAGCAGCAATTCTCCTCTGCCAGTTCTATAACATGCCACATGTTGTTGCAAAATGGCCAGAAATTCAGCTTTAAGAGCAATTCCTTATCACATAGCATGTCTATAAAAAACAACTACTCTAAGGTTTTTAAGAATGATGTGTTCAGAGGTGCTGGAATTGCTGCTTTGGCCCTCGTGGGTGATCTTCAACTTGGAATAAATCTTACTGATGTAGGTGAATCTTACTGGTGTGGGTGAATCGTAGGTTAGTTGCTTTGTGGTCCTTGTGCTGAACGTTGTAGGGACAACTGGTTTTGACTCATAGGCGAGGAGGCCAGAAGTTTGGCATTGTAGCAGTGAAGACAGAACATCACAACTTCTAAATATTGTGGTTTTGTTCACAGCAAACTGAGCTCCGTCAATGATGAATATATAAAGAACAGAGAAGAGTATGAAGAGGCTCAGGATGCAATTGTTAAAGAAATCATTAACATTGCTTCAGGTGAATATGTTGCTGTTGATGTTTGTCACAGTCTGGAATGCTGGGAGGACTTGCAGTTATTTTGTAGGTCCTATAGAGAACAACTGTAACATTCCCTAAAGAATTAGTGTGAAAAATGAGGTTTGGTTTTTAGACAGTTGTTGAAAGTTTGAAATATATTGTCTTCTGTGGTCAGACCTTTTCCTGGCATTGCTACACATGTGCAGTGATGGGGCGTGTGCAAATACTAATCCCATAAAAGGAACAAAAGTATGCCCATAAAGGCCACGTCTGTCCTCCACCTACCTCCCTGGTTCTGGGCATCTCCACCCAAATGGCAGACTAAGTAGAAGGCAGAAGTAGTAAAGGACAAGAGAGATCTGAGGGATTGGGACCTGAGGTTTGCAAAGGATGGTGAAGAAAGAATGTTGGTATGCAACACAAGATCAAGTTAGTCATCGCTTATGTGGTACAATAAAAAAATTATTGGTTTACTAATTAATTTCCATATATGTTGCTCCAAGATTGCCTACTTACAGGACATTCTTTACTATCCTTCACCAAAAGGACAAGAGACTTTGGGGAATTTGGGCTGGAGGATTCTGTAAATACTGCCTCTTCCAAAGGCACTAGTTCCAGCAGAACAGATCTTAGCTCTTTGAAAGAGAGAAGAAGAAAGTGAAAGCACTAATGAATATTAAGCTAAGAGTAAATGTATTAAAGGTAAAAAAAAAAAGTATTTTAAGCTGATGTATTAATATATTTGAGTGTGTATTAAGTTATGGTGGAAATCTTCATAAGCTTTGACCTGTTGTCGTGGTAAGGAATTTGCCAGTATCTTGCAAAATCAGTAGATTGTTAGATTATTTTTTTTTTGTATCTTGGTAATTTTCAAGTGGTGTTTTTTTTTGTGTGTGGCATACTAAGGTTTATGTATTTATGTGGAAAGCTAGTTGGGTATTATATAGCAGGATTAGCTTCATATGTCATCTATAAATACCTAGTATGTTTAATAAAGTTTTTTGCTGCTGCTTAAAGCTTCTGTGGTGTGCAGTCGTACGTTTACAAGTGTACCTGTGTATTTAAAAAACATTTTTCTTCCTGAAGTGGAGGCAATTTAAAGAAAAAGACTGGATTATGTGTGTAATTCTTGAATGAAAATGAATTAAAGTCCTCTTAATGATCTATGCCTAGCCAGTTCAAGAGGTGATGTTAGAATAGTAAACATACTTTGTACAGGTAGGACTTTTTCTGCAAGTCACTGCTCACCTCTTCTGAGACATGCATCCCATTTGCAGGTGTTTGATGGTTTATCTCTGTAGACTCCTGTCCCTAATCCCTTTCACTGCTTAAAAACTGGTACTGGGGGTGCTGGGCCATCTAGTCTACTCGTCTGGTATCGCAGGCACTGTATCTTACAGACCTCTCCATGCCATCGTTCACATAAACGTCAATGGTCGCTGTGTCTGAATTGTCAGTGCTGTGTCTCTGTTGTCTTTGCCTGCGTGAGCATCAAAATGCAGTGTATTAATGAGGAAGGAAACGTACTGGATTTCCAGCCGTCTTACCATTGTGAGCAGTTGCCTTCCTGTACCAAGATAAGCTGTTTCTCATTGTCTAGTGTTAAGGCAAAACAATCAACATGGCCTCGCCTCTCTGCCTTTTCTTAGTCTGAAGAAGTGTCCTTTGTAGTCAAAGCATGGAAACTTTAGGATTACATCTTAAACTCTCACAGAAGGTGACTGCTATCTTGAACAAAATTGACTTTTAATGCAGGTGAATTAATTTTATGGGCTCAATATAGGCTTTAAGATGTCTTTGCAGCAAGAACAAAAAAATTTCTAACTGTGTTGAATTTGTGTATATCTAATCAAAATCAGGTTATGCAGAACCAATACAGACGATGAATGATGTGATAGCTCAATTAGATGCAATTGTCAGTTTTGCTCATGTGTCAAACGGAGCACCAGTGCCGTATGTTCGTCCTGTCATTCTGGAGAAGGGACAAGGAAGGATTGTGCTGAAAGGTGCCAGGCATCCTTGCATTGAAGTGCAAGATGAGGTGGCCTTCATCCCCAATGACATTACATTTGAGAAGGGCAAGCAGATGTTCCACATTATTACTGGTAAATGTTCCTGGTCTCTTTTTCGTTTGTTACTTATGTTTTAAATGTCTCTGCTATTTCCAATAATGATGTCTTTGAAAAAAAAAAACCCAAACCAGCAACCCAAGAAAATGCTGTCAAAACAGTTTCTCTAATCAACAAAGAGTGAGCAGCTAGCAAGTTACTCATCTTTCTGTATGAGGGATAAGATTTAGCTCTGGAAAAGAAGGGAAGGTATTTGTAAGCTATTGTTGTTTGTTATATTTTTAAAAGTGTCCACAATGTTCTTGTGCAATGTTTTCTTTAGTAGTGGATATTGTACATGTTTATGCACAAACAGACATATTTCTCATCTTCCAAACTAATAGTCATGGAATTAGTTGTTATGATTGTAGTTGTAGTGCACTGTTTGGGGAGGGTGATCGCTAATTTAGAAATAGTCATTTGGGAAGAAGAGAGAGGCTGCTAGGACAGTAAGAAATAAGAAATTAGTCCTTCCTTAATATGTATATTCTTTGCCTTAGTGAATGCAACTCCACAAGCCAGGCAACCTCAGGAGATGGAGAACCTGAACTTGCTGAAGTGATTTGGAAAATTCCACTAGGCATCAATTGTACTGTAGCCATGTAGGCACCTTCTGTAGGCAAGATTTTAAGCAACCTCTTTGTTAATGTTTTCTTTGTTTAGCATTGAAATCGATTTTAAATGCAAAGCATGTTTCAATGGCTGTACCCTTTTTCCCCCTCTATTCTCTGGTGTAATTAAGATAATTTTACTACATGGGAAAACATTTTTAGTGTTTATGGGTTTAATTGAATTTTAATTTCCATCCAGATGTCCTTGACATACATTCTCAGTAGCAAAGATCTGAAATTGGAGAATGATTAATGAACACTTCTAACATAATCAAAAAGAAAAACTAAAAATCTGAATAAATGCATGGGAACACACTTGTTTTTCGGGTTAGCAAAAGCATAAAATTGATTTTAATGATCAGTTTTCTGGAAAACACTTTTTATTTCATTTGTACTTTGGTTAAAATTAACTTATTAATATCTGTTTTAGCTGATTCAGAATCCCTCTAGATTGTAATTTAAATAACTTGTTAGCTTGTACCCAGTCTGTAACTAAGCTATTTCATCTTTACAGACAAATTGTAATTGTTTGAGGTGAAAGCAAATTATTTTCATTCTTCTGCAGCAATACTGATGACTTTTAGATTAAAGCTTATTAGTTTTAGATATAGACATGGGTTTTAGATGACCGCTAATACTTCTGAAAAGTCCCAAAACTTATGAAGGCCACTAATGCTCTGCGATCACCTTTCTTTTGAAAAAGCAGCATTCAGTAAGACATACAAGCAAGCCTTATTAGTAACAGAGCTACTTGTTGCACCTGTTAGACAAGTTTGCTGCTCTTTCCTGGCAATAGAGTATTAAGTTTAAGTGTTCTTCGTCTTGATTTAGAGCCTGTTCTCCTTTAAAAGAACTGTGGAATTTTAAAGGATGATGAGTTTTTAATTCATTTGCAAAATTTCTTCTTTAGGCCCTAACATGGGGGGAAAATCAACCTACATCCGACAGACAGGGGTGATTGTTCTTATGGCCCAAATTGGGTGTTTTGTACCATGCGACTCTGCAGAAATAACCATTGTGGATTGTATCCTGGCTCGGGTGGGAGCTGGAGACAGTCAGCTGAAAGGTGTGTCTACTTTCATGGCTGAAATGTTAGAAACTGCTTCCATCCTTAGGTAAGTCCTGTGCTTGTTTAATTTTGTTGGTTGGGGTTGATGGGAAAGCAGGTGCTCTACGAAAGATGCATTTAAGATTCCCTTTTATGCAGGATTTCAGTGAGGATCTCAAGTCCTTTTTAGCAGGCTCATAAGTTCTTGAAGTAGCCTTCTTTTTATTTCAGTGGTCATACAGAGCTGCCAAAGTCTAAATGGGACAAAGAGATTAATTTGGAATGATCTGTGTGACACTGTGTGCGCACTTTATTCCTATGTTTTTACATGAATAGGAAAGGTCTTTTGCCTCTTTTAACCTATGCCTCTACAACATAAATTGTCGTACTCCAATATCTGAGTTCATGCTGTTCTCAAATGTTATAAAATGCTCTTGTGTTTTTAGGACAGCATCTGAAAACTCCCTGATAATCATTGATGAGCTGGGAAGAGGAACTTCTACCTACGATGGCTTTGGCTTAGCATGGGCTATTTCAGAATACATTGCTAGCAAAATCTGTGCTTTCTGTATGTTTGCTACACATTTTCATGAACTGACAGCTCTTGCTGACCAAGTACCAACAGTAAATAACCTACATGTTACTGCTCTGACCAGCGATGACACACTGACGATGCTTTATCGTGTCAAGGAAGGTAAGGCTCTGTAAATCGTGAACAGGGTAAACTTTATTTTGCCCTGAGGAAGAAATCTTAATGGAGGAAAAAAAAAACAAACCAACCAAACAAAAAAACCACACACAAAAAAAACCCCAAACAAATAAAACCCAAACCACCCACCAAAAAAAAATTTCATGTTGTACTCCAGGCTTAGGGTTTGTAATAGACATGTTCTTCTCTGTCCATAGAGTGCATATGGCAGGAACTCTGTCCATGTGTGAATGCAGTTGGTGATATTGTTGAGGATTATTTGTTAAGACTTCTAGGTTATTTCTGCCACTAAAGTCGATGCTTTTGAGGTCAGTCCCTTTTTAAAGAGCAGAGAGAAGAGTTCCGAAAGGTTATTTTCTGTTTTCCTAAATCAACCGTTTTAACCTGCTGATAGAAAAGACTTACGTTCCTTAAACTGTTCTTTTAAAAGAAGTACAACTTTTATGTGCTGACAGTTTTTAATAATGTCTAGTTCATTGTAATAAAGCTTAGTCACTGAAGAAAGATGTAGCCCAATATATGCAGTAGTTTGATATAGGAAAAATCGTATGTTTCATTTTTAATGAATGGCATCATAGTAAAACAAGAAGTAGCCTGTTTTGTTAGTGTAAGGTAAGTCAGATGTATTTAATTAAAACGCTTTAGTGGATCCAGTTACTCCTTTTGGTAATAAATTAGACAATTTTTAGTTGGGCATAAATTTAATCTGTTAACTGCAATAAGCAGTTCCTCCTGCTTCTCTATATCCCCAATCATATATTC